TCGTTTTATTCATGTATAAGAGGACATTGTACTTCAACCAGAGTTAAAAGTCAAATATATTGCTTGAAAAACTGTCAGAATGATATCACTAATATTTTATTCTGTAGACATTGAAGATGGAAAAAAGAATATCAGAGAGACTATTTGGCTTATCAGTTTAGGAAGTCATTTAAAATATTTTAACATTGGAATCTTCAAAGTACAGTTATAGAGTCCATTATTAACTCACTTTAACTGATGGAGATGCAAAAATCAAAGTGACCTGAGTCCGTGAGTTTGACATAAGTCATAGGTGAAGGCTAGGGGTTGTGACTTCTAGCTCTCAGCCTGCCATTTGCCCTGGTCGATGAGGATTTCTTAACAGACCTACGGCATGTCCTCCATGGGCCACTGTGTTCTATAGTGCTTTGGCTGACTAGTTGCAAGTGATTTAGGCAGTAAAGCTTTTCTGCCTCTGTAATGTCTGTATAATCACCTATTAAGACAGGTTTCCTCTATCCAGCATGTTTTCTTTTACTTTACTCCATCTCATTACTAGCACTTAGACTCTCTTAGACAGCCCTAAATAACCCTTTGACCCCATGATGTTTATACACCCTTCAAATTCTTAAGATGGCAATCATGTCTCCTGTTCTTTTGTCATCTAAGCAGAGTTCTTGGGGGTTCTTCTGTGGGCTGGCTGAAAGTTGAGGAGGTGCAAATGCTTGCCAATCATTTCCCCCAAAGGAAATATTTGGGGGAATAGCGTAAATGTGTTTAGTTGTTTACAACAGACATTTATATAAGGGAGCTAAAATGACAGATAACCTCTTAACCTTGATGGAATACTTCAATGAACTTTTTCACTTAGTTTTTTCTTTTTCCCCACCTCTGTCTCACTTATTTCTTGTGCTTGGCTGTATTTTACATTGTAGCCTAACTAAAACAAACCATTTGTGTTTTTTTGCAGACAAAGTATAATTGGATTTATCTTTGTCAGGGGACAATCTATTATGGCTTTTATTTAATACAGTTTCAGATGGCTTTCGGTGGCAGAAACAAATTAATGTACATTTTTATTAGGTGTTGTATCTATTTAATTGACTGTCAAAGTGATGAGAAGTTAGGAAATCATCCAAAAGAGAGGTCCATCTCCCTTAGCCCAACAACTCACACATTAGGTAGGTTTGCCTTGTCAGTGGGATGCCTTTAGAAAACACTAATAGCTTCCAGCTGGGTGGAAAATCAAAACCTTTGGGGTCTGACAAAACTAGCAGATTTGAATTTGAAAGCAGAGCTAATGCCTCCATTTTATTTTTTACCACTCGCCCATAAAACATTATTTTCCAATATGTCAGCCTCATTTGGTGGCCAGTGGTCTGAAATTGAAAGTGGGACAAGCAAGCGGAGAAATCTGGACATTAGTGAGTCCGCCCTTTCAAGCTGGTGTGCCACTTTGTGGAAGGGTCTCCTCTAAGAGCAGGGGGGTCTTAATGACCATTCATCAATGCTCGTTGGGTGATCATTGAGTGCCTTCTCATTCAGTTTATCAAGTCTTGCACATAAAAAGTCAGAATAAGCCTTATTCAGCTTTGTTAAAGCCAACTAGGAGTAAAATGCTCCATTTGAACCCATTTTGCCCTTGTTTTTTCACTTTGTTAATGCAGCCCTGCTTAAATGAGTGCCTTTATTGGGTCGGTTAGAATATCTGAAACTATTAATTCTCTTGTATTGAATAGCTGGTGGCAGGCCAGAGCAGATGGGGTAGGAAAGTATTTGGTTGGGTGTATTGCTTTCAATTAGGATCAATGAGGTTTCAGCTCCTTTGAATTAACTCACTTAATACCCACTGTGTGAAGTCACAGTGTATCACAACAGCCTGCTAGAAGCCCAGAGGAAAGTTGAGAAGACCTGTGGAAAGGCTTTAACTCAAATTCTCCCTTTACCAGTGTAGAGAGCTTTCTTGAACTGCAGACCATGTCAGTAGACTGCTAGTCCCTATTGCTAAGTCATGTTTGAACAAAGGAAAAATTTGTATTTAATGGAAGTTTTGTTGTGAACATAAGTGAAAAATACCTTGGAATAATATGGTACCATAATGTCTTTCTAATGAATGATCTAAAGTTGTCAGAAAACAACTTACGTATTTGCTTTTCTGGGAGCCCAGCATTTTGTTGTTGATTAAACTTACTGGTTTGGAAAGTGTTGATTTAGATGACTCTTTCTAAAAAATTGCCGTTAAAATCGGCTGTGTTCTTAATTCAGTGACACACATTAACTGATGAGGTTCTCCTGAGGAAGTACTTAATTGGTAAGGTATTCTTTGTTATTAATTGGGATATATTTTAGTTTTATAAAATATGTTTCCTTATGACAGTGTTTTGTACTGGAGAAAACTTTTGCAATATATATTGTTTTTTCTCCATTCACTTGCATAAATGCATTCATCACGTTATTGATTGTCTGTTTTTATTATACAATTTGGATGTTAGAGATCTTGGCTCCATATCCTCCTTTTTTTTTTTTTTTTGTTTTATGAACGGAAAGTTATTTCTGTCTAAGTAACTGTGTAGAACTACGTATCCAGGTTTCCCTATTCAGGGAGAACTGCCAAATGGGGTTCTGCTTTTCTTGCCTCCATGGATTAAAGAATAAGAGGAGGAAACTGGTTCCTTGAGAAAATGCTGAACTAGTCTCAGATGCACACACATTCAGCTAGGCCCCTCTGCAATCAGACTTCTAGGTGAGAATCTCCAGGGATCCAGGTTTTGTTGACGTGGATCAATTTAAAGTGGCAATTACTGTAGTCAGATAACAGCTTAAAAAGCCTTTTTACACATAGAAAAGATACATAATCACACAGCATATGGAAGTTCAATTTTCTGAGCTGCGGTTTAGGGACTTGCAGTGTACCGATATTAAGACCCCATTTTAAAACCAGATATCATCCAGTTTTCTCAAAAGTGTATTGCATTTTGTCATATGATTTTCTGTTTTAGAAGTGATTCACCATGCATATTGATGAAAGGTTGGGTTTCCCACTGTGAAAATGTTTTCTTTCTAACATAAGTATAGCACTAAAAAAAAAAAAGAAGAAAAATCAGTGGCATGTAGCATTAAGTGGCTTTTAAAAAATACTCTCTTAAAAAATGAAAATCTACTGATTTAGGATGCTGGATTCTATAAAGGCCCTTATAGCAGGACTTAATTGATTATCACACTCATGCCTGCTGTAAAGCTTTCTGTCATAAGAATGTTTGAGCTTGGTGCTTAACTGTACTGAAATCCATTACAGAGAACCTCATTACAAGTGACATCTAACTAAGATGAACAAAAAGATTGGCCTCATAAATAGGGTGCAGTATACTATTAGTGACAGAACAGAGTAATCATTATGAATTGTAGTCTTTTTACAAGTTGTCTCTGACAATGATGGATTTTTGAGGGGTTTGCTGGATAAAGCAGCCCTTCTTGGGTATAGTATTTAGGGGCTGTAGAAGTTCTTATTGATTGACACTGTTTATCAAAGAGAATATATTTTTAGTCTGTGCAGAGGGAGAGTGTGTGTGGGTATGCTTTGAAACAGGTTGTGTGCACTCTTGGGAAGAGGTGTAGGAAGATTGAGTAGGTAGAAGTCAGAGTTATTGCCTCTGTTTTCAGAATCTTTTGGAGATAGCAAGTAGTGTGGAAATCCATCTGACAAGGGCTAAAAGCATATGGAAAGTGTAGGGTAAGTAAAGGACATGTTGAGGACTGTGAAGGAATGGCAAGAGTTAACGGGAATGCTCCTGTCTATCATGTTCGTTGAGCTTGCAGGCTGATCAGAGGACCCTGAGTGGAATTGTTTCTGTGTTGATAGTGGATTGTGCATAAGTTGGAAAGGTAAAGCCTGAGGGATCTACCTCATCATGTGCCCTGTTGTTGAAACAAACACAGACCTAGGGAAGATTTGCAAGTGTAAAACTGAGGAAGAGTTTTAGGAGAGAACAGTATTTTCCTTCTCCCTGGCATTGTTGTGTGTTTAGAAAAGGCATGCAAGGCAGGCAGGCATATGTTTCTCCTATGAGGCAGGGATGTTTTACAAAGGACTAAAGAGGGACTGCTGAGAAGAAAATAGCCAGCTTTAGATAAAGCACTATAACAAAGGCTCCTAGTTTTATATATCATGGTGTCCATTAAAGCTTAATAGGGAAGAGTCCATTGAACCTGGCTGGGTATGTGTTATTCATGGGAAGGATAAACATTTAGGGGTGCGCAAAAAAAATCAGAAATCAGGAGGACATGATAGTTCAGCTTTTGAAAAGGCTTTACAATGAAGATTTTGTTTTTATCTCCCATGGATTTCTATGCAAGGTAGAGGAAAGGAAGCTGAAAATGTTTGGAGCAGATCAACCCAGGGATCCCAGGGGGTTAAAAGCACTCGAGTAAAATAAAAGTGGTCAGCTCTGCTTCTAAAAAGTGTTCTATTTTACACATACTACTGAGAAGCTGACAAAAGGAATGATTCTGATACTTTGTTCAGGATGATAAACTGGCACAATATACAAAGTCTTATAAAAATGTTTGTAGACTGTTTGGGATTTCCAGTTGAATAAACAAGCTTTGAGGTCTGTGCCAATTTTTTTTTTTAATATAGTTCCCAATTATGGCTGTGAAAATGAGAAGATGAAGGGAAGTCTTTTATTGTGAGCGGTGGTAGGGGGCCAGGTCTACAATTCTATCTTTTGGCAAAATAAGGGTTAACCTTGAACAGGATGGGGGTGGTGGTGAATAAATTATTCGGCATTTAGCTTATCATTCCGAATTTCACTTTTTGCTTTTTGGTGCTCTGAAACTTGCGGAGAGAGGTAGACTGCTAAGGGGAGGGTAGGGGTTGTGATACTTTGCACATACATCCCTGTCATTGTTCTGCCTGAAGAGACAGGGCTGGGTTCAAGGCCACATGTGCTCCTGTCATCCTCCACATTTCTGCTCCAAGTGCAATCCGGAGTGTCAGCTCTCCATCTGTCTCTGCCTGGCAGGCGCACGCGCCCAGCACCCTGCCTCCGGCGATGCCGCCCCAGCCCCTCTGATGGCCCTCCTCTCTGCTGCCACTCATTCCAGAACAGGAGGCATGAGCCCGGAACGCGCTTGCTTTTAGGAGACAGCCACTTTCTGTGTGGTACGCTGGATTCAAGGATGCCTGGTGAGTTAGCCCTGTTCTGTGTTCTCTCTGTTTTTCCAATGAAGAAAGCTTACTTTCTATTATGCATGGAAAATACCTTCTGCCCCACAGCGTATTGTATCTGATGTGGGCAGCAAGAGGCTGGGGGTGACAGAGGTGTGATTGGAAGGTAGCATAAAGAGAACATCAAGATCTGGATACATGGAGGGGTACAGGGTGTGGAGCCCTTGCTTTTGAAATTTGGGAGATGTGTTTTAAAGCCTGAGGAGGTCGTACAACCACAGATGTTTGCCGGAGCAATTTACTTGAGGGTTTTAGCTCAAGTAAGAAGTATTGTTTCTGTTGAAGATTTTGTGACTATCATCTGTAGTTGGTGTCCTGGAAATTTCATCTGTGGAGAGAGTTTTCAGGTTATGGCGGAATCCTGGAATAAGATCTCTTTAAAAAGCTGTTTATGTCAGAGAAAGTGAAGGAAGCTTTGAAACTACAAGGAATTTCAGTCTTGTCCTAAATCACAGCCCTTAGATGTCATCAGACAAATAATTGAAATGGTTAATTAAAATAAAAAGCCTGCTGAATTAGTGAAGCTGTTGTCCTGGAAATTTAGTGCATGTCAGTTTCCTCTGAAAAATATTATCTTTGGAGCCCAGAGTGTTTCTATGATTGTTGCCAGTGAAGGCTCTGCTTATGGAGAAGGCTGGCTGGGGGAAGGTTGTTTCGGCTGTTCTCAAAAACTGTCTAAATTGCCCTATGCTTAATTTGGAGTCTCCTATCTTCAGATAAAAAAGACAGGGCAGATAGAGATCCTCCAGCTGGCCAATTTGTGCGGAGTATTTGGGTAGGACAGGCAGAAGAGGCTGTGCTTGGTCACAGAGTTTGTACACCTCACAGATGGTGTTTTCAAACATTATCTGCCAGTTTTCTGCAGCCACAGTTGTGTGTAGGTATTGCCAGTTGTTTGAAGAATGTTTTTCCCTTTAGGATGTGTCTCATAGTCCATCCTAATCATTATTGATATATATGCAGAAAGGATGCGTTTGTGGCAGAATTGCACTTTTTCATTAGTAGACTAGTAATGTATGTAGCTGACTTATGGGGAAAATCAATTTACAAAAAGACAATGACTGAGGTCTTTGAAAGGTCATTTTAACTCTTTAAGCTTTCATCTTGATTTATATGCACCATGCAACTAAAGATGTAATGTGCCCTGGGTATATAATACAGAATCAATGTGAAAGTGCCTGCGTTTTTTATTTCACCAGAATATTGAGCACATTTATATGATTTTTATGTCATGATTCAAATCTTTTTATGCTGTTAATAAATGTGTTAAATGATCTGATTTATCAGCATTTTGAAGAGTCTATATGTTAATTTTGTAAAACAAAACCCCATAATAAACCAAAGCCATTTGTGAATTATAATAGGTAAAAGAGATTAGTTAGGACCCTTGCAAGTTCTAGCTAATTGCATTATTTTAAGCTTCCAAGCACCTTTATTTAAAAAGCATTGAGCTATATTTAGGGATTTAGGGTCATTGATAAGTTTGTTTTAGTGTTGTTGTTAATACATCTGGTTCTACAGCAGTAGCCTGAAGTGTGGGCATTGCTTCTCTCTCTGTCTCTCTCTCTCTCTCTCTCATCAACTGTGTTAGAAAACCTTGTACTTGGATACATAGAATATATTAACAGCTGTGACTATGAGCATGTGCCAGAATGGTGATACTTGAGCAGATTTGACACTTGGCTATTTTTGACACCCATCTGTACTTTTAAAATTCTACTATCGGATGGACTACCTCTAAATGTGTTTTTAGCTTATTTTAGTCCATACATATAGGCCCATTTTAATGGACAATTTAGCCATCTTGGGCAGGTTTTATATTTTTTATTAAGACATTATGTGTAGAAGATTAAAAGGTTGTATTCTATGCACTCTGATATCATCTACTGCTTAAAAAATCACTAATTTATGTATCCACACACACACACACACACACACACACACACATATTTGGTAGTTCAAGTATCAGAACTAATTCCTGGTTGTCTCAGACATGATGTAACAATTGTCATATCTAGGGCCTTTTTTTTTTTAAATAAAATTGAGGATCCTTGGAAACAGATGTGCACAAACTGATCTTATTCAGACATACCACCAATCTTTGGGGGTGGGTAAGTAAAAAAAGTCTTAGTTTAAGGGTTTCTAGAACTATTTTGGTTTTAAAAAACATGTTTTTAAAGCTGTTGAGAGCATATTGTTTCAAAATGAATTCCATAAAAGTCAAAAGAGGCTAAGCATGCTTTAAAGAAATAGATTATTTCAAAATTATTTAACTTATTATAAAGAAATACCATTTCACTACCTGTTACTTTTATAACAAGTAGATCCTTGTGTTTAAGAAAAGGAAAATGTTTTCTTATGAGAAGGCTGGGAGACCCTGGGCATTATATTGTTTCAGGAGGCAGTGACTCCAAGCTTTCTGAAGCACTTATATTTTTATGAATCTTTGTATAATATTATCAAAGAACATATGTTGACCTACAAAATGCTTTGAGGACTATTTCCTTAAAAGGACAATAAGTGAGCACAGTCCCTGTAGCCCAGAAATAGTGCTTTTTCTTTTAGAAGATGGCTAGTATTAGGTCAGACCACCCTTTCTCAATGGTCCTGCTCTCCAGATGTGCCTGGAACTTTTTTTTAAGTTCAAGTTTCCAAAAGAGAGAAAAAAAAGGTTTGTTTTCAAAATCTGGTTTTACTTAAGACATCTCCATCCTGGAGTGCATTTCATAAATTGCCCACATATTTTCCTTAGCAGAGAACTTAACTGGCTGTAATTTTTAACACATGGCCACATCATGTGATATTTTCAAAACACTTACACATAGCTTTAAGAAGGTCCCTGCAGAAATGATCCATCCTCTCACAGCCGGCCCATTTTTTAACAGCATATCTGCATTTTCCATTTAGTAGAGCTATATATTATTAGCTTACATTTTTGGGTAGTAAAACAGTGCATTGCTGATTGTAAAACATGGACTTTATTATCTGCTGAAAATTGATTTGGCATTTATAGCCACTGTGTACTAGACTATTTTTCTGTTTTTAACATCAATGCTTGCAAGCGATGATTTGTGTAAAAAAACAGAAATGAAATTGCCATGGACAGACAACTGTTAGTATCCCTAGTAACTGAACATTTGGATAATGCACTTGGTTATTTTTTTAATAGATGCATCTAAATGCTATTATGCAAGAATAAAAACACTCACAGCAGTCCATTCACTGACACTCTATTTTACTTTGCAAGTTGGTTTGCCATTGTATTAGGCTCTTTGCTGTATCAAACAAGCCTTGTGCCAACTATAGAAGAAAACTATGTAAGTTGTAAATACCCAATTATAAGTGTAGATTGTGCAGCATTGCTTTTTTGTAGCAGACATGTAGACAATCCAGCTTCCCTTCAAACCCCGAAACTCTCTCCCTTTTTCTCTTTACATTATTTTCTGTTAATATTTGAGAGTACTTGGCCTTTTAGTTTTATGTGTGTAAAATGATATTTGGAAACTTTCACAGGCCATCTTCCTATGCAGTTAATGGTCTATTGAAAATGATAATTGTTTAATCTTTTTCTTGAAGGGGGTGATGGTTATGACATCTTAAGGTTTCATTAGACAACTACTTATTTTTATTTCTTAAAGTAAACATTTGCTTAGTAGACATTATATAGCCTAGAAGTGTTTATTAACTGTCTTATCACTACACTGTTAATGCATGCTTGCAAAGAAGATGCTGTAATTATAATTTTCTGAAAAGCCTTCTGAGCCGTCAGGGGAACAAATATATTTTAGAGCTTGAAGGTTTATCTTGTGAGCACTTTCAGTTTACAGATGTTGAAACTGAGACTCCTAGAGATTAAGGCACTTGTTCAGGTAGTTTATGAAAGTAAGATCTTCTGAGGACATTCTCTTTACTATGCTGTTTGTAAATCTCAAATGTACATTAAATCACGTTAGCATATTAGTATCAGTCTTACTTTGTTGTCTTTTATCTTCAGTCCTGGATTGCTCTCATCTTATGCTTTCTCCCCTCCCACTCTAGGATTGCAGAGGTACCTGGGAGAAAATTCTGTGACAGTAATCACTTGGCCTATGGCAAAAGTGTGCCTATTAAATTTATTTTATAATTGTTTGGGAATTAGGGAACCTGTATATAGTTAATTAAGAGAGTATTAAGCAGAACCAAAAATGTAAGGCTATGACAACAGAAAGTTGCTGTAATGAGGAAATTCGGTAGGTTGGTCAAAATGTGTCAGATACCAGATAACCATGATTGAGTCCCTCCACGCCCTCAAGAAATTTGGAGTTCTAGTGTTCCCAGCAGAGAAGTAAACAGGGCCTGAACATAGTAGAGCATGCAGGAGCCCAGAGGGGAGGTACTCACCTGGATTAGGAGTCAGGGATATAGGGGAAGGACGCACAAGGGGCTAAGCGAACGCCTATTGGAATGCCTTGCCTGTCTCCTTCTACTTGCTGCAGATTGGATCTCAGTTCATGTAACTTAGCATTTTTTTTTGGCTGGTTTTTCTTATCCTAAGGATAGGGCATTCATTTTGGTTTTTATTAGATTTTAATTTCTGTGTGTGGCAGTGGGTGTAGTATTTCTTGAAAGCTATTTCTTTGTGTACAGTTGCAGTTCTTTGGTAGCTAACCGTATCTAGAGGAATAAGTCATTAACTTAAATGACTCATAACTTGAGAACAATAGGATTTCACACCTGACCAAGAAGCAGGTTTATCGTGCTGGCTTTCTCCAACAGCTGTTTGCATTAATTAATATTAATGTAAATGTACTTTCTGAGAATGTCTAGCTTAATTATATTTTTCAACCCATAGAGTTCCAATCAAAGGAATCAGAAAATCCTCTTAATCTCAAAGGGAATATATAACCGCTGTCTCTGAACGGAATAAATCTCTGATAGTATACTAAGAGCAGCCTTTTATTGAAAGCCTATATATGCCA